TACATATTCATTACCATAATAAATCCTGAAAGTGTTCATGACAGAAATGGATTAAGCAAATGCAGAACAACTCTGGCGGATGTGAATTGACTTTTTAAAAAATAATTGTCATTATCCTATAGCATAGTTTTTTAATTATTGATTGAATATTAATTTAGTATAATCAAATATTTCAACCCAACCATGTCTTACATGTTTATATCAGGTTTATATCTTCTAAACAGGAATTTTGTTTTGGTGGACACTAGCTTATAAATATTCTAAAAACTAACAATACTGATAATAACATATCAGAAAAAACATTTTAATTTCATGGGACCTTTAAGTGTACATCACTGTAGCCTTTTATTCCTGTCAAAGGGTTAACGACTTGATAGAGACTTTAGATACCAACTACACTGTAAATAGTCAACTCCAGTCATTAAAAAGCAATTTTCATGCATGTTTCAGATTCTCCCAGTGAGCGTTTGCAGAAGAGAGAGAAGGTTTGGCAAACGCCTCTGTTTCAAACTGCGTCTGTTGCTTTTGAGACTCCTAGCAACCTTTCAGAGCAGATCCTCTTTGCTCAAAGAAGTCTTTCCTATTCTCTGTTTGACCGATTTATATAATCACCAAACCCCCTGTTCAAACAGGCCCTAGATGTTTAATATCTGACATTAAGGTGACCTCGATTTTTCTTGTGTGACCCTGGGCTGTAGATTCTTTTCAGGCCCGGAAGGCTCCGGCGATGGCTGGGGATTGTTGTTATTCTGACCCCATTACGACTTTCCGTAAATGCCGTGAATAAACGCCACTGCATTGTTCCTGCGGTATCTCTCTGACACAAGCGCTTGTAAATGTCATCTGTGACCCGCTCGCTCAGCACGCATAAATTGTTTGGTCTTCAAAGTGTCAATACAATTAATGAGGGGACGTGTAAATATCACCTAAAACAGACCTGCTGTAAAAATTTACATTTTACATCTGCTAAACCTGCTGTCGGACAATATTTGCTGGGTTTTACTAAATACGTTTATTTTTTTCTCAAAAACCACTTGTTAGCATCATAGGAGACATTCTGAGCCCACATGAGGCTTATTCTGTCTGTATAGAGAGCAGGGGTACACAAACATTTATTTATAAAGGGCTAAAAATCAATTATTGAAAGCCGTGAGCTGAAGGTAAATATACCAAACTATATTACTTAAAAGTTGCCATGGGTAATTTCAAAATGTTTTAAATAATATTTTAAAATAATTAGAAAAAATTACGTTAAATTATATTAAGTTAAAGTTTAAATTATAACTTATTGTAATCAAAACATAAACAATCACATTAATAACATCGTAGAGTTCAGTGCTGAATACACCAGTCAAGCAGAATCTGCCTTTGACTTGATTTGCTCACCAAAGTCTCTGCATTGTTGGGTGACAGTATGTACATCTGATTTATTTACACCATTTAATTGAAACATTTAATTTCAGTAAGCTTTTAACAATAAAAACAAACAAACAAACAAACAAACAAAGGGTTACGTTAAATTTTTAATTGACAATCTCAAAAGAATTCCGATCATTCTTCTTCTCTTCTTTAGATGGGATGGCAGGCCAAATCAAAGGTTACACTGTAAAACCCAAAAAGTTAAGGTAACTCAAACCATTTGAGGAAACCGACTGCAACAAACCAATATAGTTCAAAAACTAATTCTAATGAGTACTTGTGAACTTAATCCATTTGAGGAAACGAAGCAATTTGAGCACAGTAAAACCTAATAAATGAAGAGAACTTAACTCATTGGGTTTTACAGTATTCAGTCGGTTAAGGGCAACTCCAACTGAGGAAACCGATTGCTACAAACCATTTGAGTTAAAATAAAAAAACAAATCTATATGAGTACTGTGAACTTACTCCATTTAGGTTGAAAACAATAAAAAAAAAATATTGTAATAAAGTTAACAGCCACCTGGCCGCCAGGAAGAAGGAGGTGGAGAACCGGCGCACCTTGAAAAAATTTAATAACAAATTAAATAAAACAAATGGTCAAACTCAAAGCAAGAGTCACATAATATGTTCGGGCCTGGTCCTCTATCCTCTAACACTGGTGTCCCTCCTCCTTTTAGCTTCCAGGGCTCCTCCGTGAAACTGGAGGCAGGTGATGAGTCCAGGTGTCTCTGATTATCTCACTCACGCCTATCATCTCGTATTACCTCAGGGCTCTCGGCCCCATCTCACTCACCACAAATACATTGCTTTAAGGGGCTAACAATATTTACCTTAAACTAGTTAAAAAAATTAAAGCTGTTATCATTCTAGCTGAAATAAAACAAGTAAGACTTTCTCCAGAAGAAAAAATATTATAGAAATACTGTAAAAAAAAGTCCTTGCTCTGTTAAACATCATTTGGGAAATATTTCAAGAAGAAAAAATAACACAGGAGGGTGAATACTTTTGACTTCAACTGTAGTGTATATATATATACTGTCCAGACACATGTGTATTTCATAATTTGACCTTAAGGACCAATGGACTTCTCATTTTCCATTTCTGTAGAAAAACACTAACGACAAAAGCTGATACATGTAGTGAAAGTGACTTTGTGAACTTCCTAATAAATAAAATAAATCAATATATATATCATCACCCATAAAACATTTGTTATTAGTTCATGCGGTTTGATTCTTTGATTCTTTATGCGATTTGATTACTGTATAATAAGTTATTCTGAGATTGAAACTTGGTCAATGTGTTTTTTTTCCCTTTTTTTTACAGGGCTGTTAGGTTAAACAGACATTTTGAGGTTAATCTACCTACTTCCTTACCTAGTTCCCTCTCAGACACTCAAGTACTGTTCATTTTTAGTCTAAAGTTTGTTCACTGTGGCAACAGAAATGGCCCTATTCATCTTCATAACCTTTCAGCTTTTACTGGAGGTTGTACCACAAGGTAAGTGATCGCCGATTATTTACAGTAATAATAAAACAGGTATTAATGCTGTTTTCTATTTTATAATGTGTCTCTATAATGATTTCTATTCATCCATGCACAAGGTAGACTTTTTTTTTTTAAATACAGAAGCATATATAACCTTATAACCTAGATGTCATATTTAACAAAATATATAGTATTTAAAATTATTATATACAGTTGAAGTCAAAAGTATTTGCCCTCCTGTGATATATATTTTTTCTTTTTCAAATATTTCCAAAATGATGTTTAACGGAGCAAGGGATTGTTGCACAGTATTTCCTATAATATTTTTTTCTTTTGGAGAAAGTCTTATTTGTTATATTTTGGTAAAGTTTTTTTTATTATTAAAAAACAAACATTGTAAGTTCAATATTATTAACACTCTTAATCAATATATTTTTCAATTGTCTACAAAATAAACCATCATTGTACCAATGACTTGCCTAGTTAACCTAATTAACCTAGTTAAGCCTTTAAATGTCACTTTAAGCTGAATACTAGTGTCTTGAAAAATATCTAGTCAAATATTATTTGCTGTCATCATGACAAAGATAAAATAAATCAGTTATTAGAAATTAGTTATTAAAACTCTTATGTTAAGAAATGTGTTGAAAAAATCTTCTTTTTGTTAAACAAAAAAAAAAAAACAGGCACTAATAATTCTGACTATAACTATATATACTGTATATAGCTAGTGTGTGTATATATATATATATATATATATATATATATATATACATATATATATGTAATGTATATACATATACACACACACACACACACATACATACATACATACATACACACACACACACACACACACACACACACACACACACACATTATTAATATATTTTTTTAATTATACAGCATCAACAGAAAATGCGACATCTTTTTCTGAGAGTGTCTCAGTTACAGCCACAGGTAAGCTATTAAATCATACAGTAAACTGCTTTTAATAAATAGACCAAATGTTTTATTCTTTTAAAGGCCTTTTTGTTTTGTTGTAAGGTCTGGCTGTCGTCACATCTTTACCACTGACTCCAGAGAACGACACACATACAATGACCATCACTGAAACCACTAAAGGTGGAACTAAATTTTCTTAAATTTTAAATATATGTCATATTTTTGTTTATAAACACATTTCCAATTAAAATCTTATGTTGATGCATTTCCGGCTAACAGATAGTTGGGGTGGGGCATAGAATGGTAATCTCCTCCCCTTTTTAAAAACTCAATAAAGAAAGTGCGGAAGTGCGCTGGTTTTTGCGATTGTTTTAAAACTGCCGATTTTCTATGGGAGAAATGAATAGGAATAATAAACGGCAAATTGTCAAACTACTTGCTGTACTAGCAAGTGTGTGCATGACTACAGACAAAGCAGAATAACATAATAAAAACATCTGTTTGCAACATCAAGCAGCATAATGAGCTGTTTTCAAATCTAAAATCAATGGAAGTGAACGAGACTGGAAGTCTTGATCCAAATAGATTTAATTGCAATTTTAGCAATGAAAGCGAATAACAATATGCAGAATGGGTTTTGGTTTTTTCATTATAAATTATACAGTTATGCTCAAAAAAGTGCCTTACACAAAAAAAAATGTCTGTGATTTTAACAGTAAAAAAAATGTAAAATTGGTACGGTAAAATACTCATACGTTAATTCTGGCAATCACAGCAGCCATTTTTTTTAAACAAGTCTTCTTACAATGTTTTAGCTTAAACGTATTGCATCCTGCATGAATGATTCATGGTTAAGTTCAATGTTTCTCTAAAAAGAATCAGCCATTATGAAAGAATTGCTTGAATGAAAGATTTATTCATTTTGCACATCTTCCAACACTTCCATTTGCAATGTTGTGTGATATTTACCATGAATATATATATATATATATATATATATATATATATATATATATATATATATATATATATATATATATATATATATATATATATATATGAATGTATATATAAAACAACTTAAAAGAAATCCTTATACTCTCATATTTGCATTAAAATAAGCGATTTAAAAAACGTTATTTTGTAGCTTCAACAGATTTGGCAATAACATCCAGTGCCGAAGTCATGACAGATTCAGAAACCAGTAAGCACTTCTGTCCATCTGTCCTTTTACTGTAATGTATATAATTTTCTTCTAAATTTACTAATCAACATTTGTTTTGTTGCTATAGATATGCCTAATCTAACCACCCACGACAGCCACCATTTCAACAGTTCTGCAAATAGTAAGTTCAAGATTCTTCTACAAACTCTATCACTTCTGTAGCCAAATATAAATATATCTGATTGGTTTTATTCACAAATCCTCAGCCACCCTGGAATCGACTACACTGATTAAAACTACAAAAGACACATCAGGTAAAAAAAAAAATACAAAAAAACTTTGTAAATTAACAGTTTACCATATTTTGATTCGTGTTTTTATTTTCCTTGTTTATTTCTGCTTTTGAATTGCCTAATGAGACATTGATTGTTCTTCCAACAACTTTTAACCTAGTTCAAAAAAAGTTACTTTATCAATATTTAAATAGTTTAAAGTGATATATTGTCTGGGTTGGTGTTGTATATTACACTACAAAAACCTTGTAATAAACTGTCAGTACATTTTTCCCTAATTTACTTATTTCTCTATATATTATTTTTAATACTATTTCAAACGACTAAAATGTCAATAAAAGCCACTTTGTTAAACTGTAGGGTTGAATTTTCAACTCAGAGCAGAGATCAACATCACATAATGCATAATGCAATTCACAAACAGAAATAACTGGAAAACACAATCGCAAAATACAGTAACTGAATTAACAGATATTTTACAGTGTGGGCCTTAAAACACTGACATTTAAATTCACAAATATGATTTATACAATTATAAACCAATCAACTTTATTCAGTAAACAGGTATGAAGTGTTAAACTGTTAAATACTACTGTAAAGATATGCTGATGGACAATTTCTCCTTCACAGTTTTCACATTGATAAACGAAGGCCTTGAAAGTGAAAACAAGTCAAATAAAAGTAAGTATCTTTAATCAGAGGTTTTCCATGATGAAGTATAATCATTCACCTGCATCATACACTCTCAGAAATAAAGGTACGAGAGCTGCCACTGGGGTGGTACCTTTTCAAAAGGTACACATTTGTACCTAAAAGGTCCATATTAATACCTTAAGGGTACTTATTAGTACCTAAAACGTACAAAAGCGTTCCTCTTAAATAGTTTCTGTACAACTCTATGCTTTTGAGGAACCAATACGGACCCTTTAAGTACAAATATGTATCTTTTGAAAAGGTACCACCCTAGTGACAGCTCCCGTTTCTGAGTGTAAGATTGTAAAATGTTACCTCCACGTTTAATACAGTGGATCATTGTATATGTTATTATCTTTTTGTCTTTGACAGGAATGTTCTTCCTCGTTGCTGTGGCTGCGACTGGTGGAGGAATTTTCCTGACTGGACTCATTGGCATCTTTATGTACGGATGTACACGTAAGTCTGTGTTTATGAAAATGTACATATTTCATGATGCTTGTAGTTTAACAATGTAAATGAAATGTAAATGTCAACCAATCTAATGGTTCTTTCACTGCAGGAAAACCAAAAGCTCAGAGGTGAGGATGTTTCTATTATGTAAGAGTACTCTGTAAAATAAATCATTGATGAAATGAACAGAAAATAAAGGGTGGCATTTGTGCTATTTAGCATCTGGTTTGAATCCAGACGTAAAAAACAAGGTGAGTATTCATTCCACTCCTCAACACAGCATGTAAGTCACTGTGGCAAACTATTATTTTAAGGTGTCCTCATTACAGTGTAACTATTTATCCTGAGTAATATTAATTAACGGCATGTACTTACTATATGGTTAGGGTCCGAATAAGGGTTAGGTTTATAGTAATTATTCATTCACTCTGGCTTAGTCCCTTATCTATCAGAGGTCACCACAGCAGAATGAACTGCCAACTTAATTGTAATTAATTTTGGATGTTAAGTTGCGATTGCTTTTCTTAACATTTTGTTACAAGGACACCTTAAAATAAAATGTTTCCACTATTTCCTATTTAAAATATGAGTAGTGGTGAAGGTTTGCTGAAATCTTGTATTATTGTTTGTATTATAGAAGTTACTTTGCCAGTGACCGGTTCAGACTCAGTAAGCATCATCAGTGCATATTTGTGTTACTAACGGGATCTTCCTGATATTTGCACTGGTCAATAAATCACTTTTTTGTTATTTAGATTGAGGAGGAAGATTCAGTTGTTTACTCAACAGTAAAGTTCATAGAGTCCACCTCTCCAACAGCAGGTAAACAGTAAAACTGCTCACTTTAAACTATGCTCGACACCTTCAATTTGCCAATACTTTCAATCAGTTACAGTGATAAAACTGTATCTTCATCTTCTATGTGAAATAAATTAACTAAATCAAGTAAACTATCTCAAGATTGGTTAATTTTGATGTACTACTTTGGTAGTAACCGCCCAGCAAGCTTTTATTTGCATTTAAAAGACATCTATAGACATCCAGACATAGACGTTTTGGATAAAACAAGGTTAAATTTGGGCTGCACGTTAAAACAGACTGGTCATCAAATAAACAAGACTGAATGAAAGACTAATAAATGCTGTTTTTTTTTTCGGAAAATAAAATAAAATGCTAACTATATAATTTAGATCCCAGCTAAGCGACAACATTCTCAGATTGTTCTCTCAAAGTTATGAACAAAAATTCTTCCAATACACTGTAATAAAAAAAGTTGACAACTTAAAATGAAGGTAACAAACTTCAGAACTTTGAGTTTACTCAACTTCAATTAAGTCAAGTGTAAAAATTTGGTTAAAAGTTGAGTCAACTTAAAAATGTCCTGATGTTTGTTGCCTTAAAATTTTAAGTTGAGTCAACTTTTTTTCTTTACACAGTGTACTATAGGGCAGGGGTTCTCAACTGGTTTGGCCATGGGACTCACATTTTTACATGGTCATCAAGCCGCGACCCAAATTTTTAGGAATTATAATATAATTTTAGGAATTATAATTCATTTGTATTTATTTGTTAACATAAACAAGTAGTGACAGATAAATCATAAGAAAAAATCATAAGATTATTTATCATAAGATAAATCATAATATTACAAAGTAAAAACAACAAATACTGTAAACAGTGGTTAGGGTAAGGAAAGGTTCAGTTACCATGAACTAAACTGAACTGTTATTAAAACATGTTTCCTGGTTTCTAAATGTTGTTTTAAGTTAGAAAGTTTCGTGCTCTCTTATTAGAGCACCTCACTATGATACACTGAGGCTTTAAGTCTTTTTTTGTCATCAATATATGTAAATCCATACTTAACATATTCGGGGTCATGCTTGCGCTTCAACATATTTGTTGCTATAATTAAATGAAATTTCACATTTCAAACGGTAGAATTGTTGCGTGTGCATTTAAAAATAAAAGACCGGTATAAACAAATTAAGTTAAATTAATCTTTTTGTTGTTTTTTTTTGACCACACACTCCACGACCCACTGAAAATGTTCCCACGACCCACCAGTTGAGAAACACTGCTATAGGGTATATGCTAGTGTTTCTTCCCATACGGATAAACTTCCGGTGAACCGTTATTGTGACTTTTTTCATTTGAATATGGTTCCTTTTACAGCACTGATGTTGTAATGTAATTAAAATATGATCAGTTACTTCAGCATTCATTTAGTTGCTCAAGCGTTAAATGAAATGAAAAGTCGTTTACACTCACGCGCTTGTCAGGATTAGCAGGCTGATAAATGATTTTAAAATAAATTTTCACAATTTAAAGACATGGCGCGGAAAAATGTCATCTAATGCAAGTGCTTCTTGTACATTCTGAGACCCACTTTATATCGTATATCAATCAGGCAGTGAACAATCGCTGATTTTTAAAGAAAATAGACCTTAAAAGCACCTCTTTTGTAACGTTTGACCCAGGTTATTGCAAAATTAAAAGTCCTTCCGCATATTTCTGCATATACCCTATTAAGTATTTGTTAAAATAACTTTTTTATGTCTGTACTAAATGCAATATACACATTTATACAGAAACATTTATTTGTATTTTTTATATTTGGTTAACATTTTTCTGGTTTCTGAATATTTGAGAGCATTATAAATAAATGTTACCATAACGTGGAAATGTTGATGATACTTAAATATTTAAAACATTCAATGAAAATACTCAGCATTATCTGAACAAAATCCTTGACATGTCTTATTATATATGATATCTTATGTACCATGCAGAGATCACTGAAGGATCAAATCAAACTGAGGTGAGTAGAGGAGCTGGTTCACACAGAGCACGTTATATTTGTTCTATACAAAATTATCACATTATACATTTCTACCTCCAGCAAGAATCAAATGCTTTATTTTACACCATCCTCACCCAGCCGCCCGTCTCCAGTGACTGCGAGACTGTCTACAGTCAGGTGACGGTCCTCTGACAGAATCCAGCTATCACACACCATTTAACTCAACCCACAACTCATCATAAATGGAACCATCAAATGCATGCCTTTTTTGGTCAAATCTTATGCTTTTTTTAACAACACAACCTCACAACTTTCACAAGTGTCATAAGTCACAAACTTCCGATCCTACAGTACATGCCTTTTATAGTAAATGTTAACCTTCTGCTTTTGAAACAACACAACCTCCTAACCTTTCACAAGTCAAACGTCATACTTTCATTTCATTTGTGCTTTGGGTTGTTCTGCAGTACATGTAGCCACATCAAAATACACACAGCATCATCGTGCATACTGTTAAGCAATAATGAGAGTGTGCGCCAAACACACTCATTTTTCACCCGCTTTGAATGTTATCACTCAATTGGATGGGCATTATCGGTGGTTATCAGCTGAAAGATATTGACCAGTAGGGGCCTTCTGCGCCTACTAGTAGACTCAGAAGGCTGTTATCATCCATCCATGGTTAATCAGCTATACTAATAGAGAAGACTCCAGATCCAGATCTGTTTTTTCATTACTGTGATGTTGTGTTTAGGGTTGGGGTAGACGTTAATAGAATACAACTAACTGGAAATGTTATCAATAATATAAATAATTCTTGTTAACTTCCGTCAGCAGCCAGATGTGATCTATAGCTGATTAACCATGTGGATGAATGATAACAGCCTTCTGAGCCTACCGGAAGGCGCAAAAGGCCCCTACTGGCCCATGTCTATCAGCTGATAACCACAGATAATGCCCATTCAATCGAGTAATAACATTTGAATCAACTAATGTTTGTCCTGCTGGTTTTCACTTGATATTCACCATTTAAAGCACTATTTTATATTATAATCTTCTTTTTTTCTAAAACTACACTGTAAACAAAAAACGTAATTTTACGGTTTATTTCCGGCAGCTGGGATGCCAGAAAAACATAAAATAACTGTCGTTAAATAATAGAAATTTACTGTAAAATAACAAAGGTTGAATTAAAGTAATTTACCAGAAATTTAAATTTAAGGAAATTTCTGTAGTTTAATGTTTGTTATTTTACTGTAAATTTCTGTAATTTAACGACTGATATTTTACGTTTTTTTTTTTTCGGCATCCCATCTGCTGGAAATAAACCATAAAATTATGGGGTTTTTTTACAGTGTAGGGTGTAAAATATCTGCCTTTGTTTTGTTCAAATGGTCTCATGAGCTTTGATTGTCAAATTAAACTTGCATTGCTTAACCATATATGAACACATTTTCTGATCATACAATCTTATGAAAATCAACATTTTGTTTATATTTCATTGTTTACAGCTGTAATAGTAATAGTTCATACATCCAAAGATTTTTGTAATTAAACCAATGGTCTAAATATTTGTTTCTTACTCAGTTTGCATCATTGTTAAAACTGTATGAAAATAAATGTGCAAATAAACAATTTGAATACATTCATGAAAATACATAGGGGGAAACTCATTCATTCATTCATTCATTCACTCTTTCATTCATTCTTTCATTCATTTTCTTTTCGGCTTAGTCCTGTAGGGATAGTTTACAGTTTGACCCAAAGAATGACCAGTCTGGTAGATGAAGAAGAGCCAGAGTCAGAGATTTTAATAAATAAATCAAGTTTACTGGAGATAGTTTTCAGTTACATCAGCAGAAGCCAGCTTCAACACTCGCAATGAGTTCCTAGGCCGCTCTGCTTACAATCACCAATCAATAACAATTATACTCTCACATAACGTCATTAACTGCGTCACACATATAGGTGTTATAACCTGATTGGTTAAAACACAGAGACTAGGAAAATTTCCACGTGGGGTTCGTGCGTACAATTCTGAACATTATCTTAAGCATAAACGTCAGACATCCCTTAGACTGATTAGAGCTGACTCCAGACCTGTGAAACAGATCAACAATCAAACAGAACACACACACACATAAAGTATAATCGGTTTCTTATCCAAAACTGAGTGTACTCTCAGCCGTCTTTATCAAAACTGGTTAAAAACCGGTATCATCTACATTCAGGCAGTTATAATTCCTTACTACACAAAGTCTATCTTGAATAAAAAGTAGAATCACTTTAAAAGATTTAACCGTAAAAATAGCAAAATCACTTTAGACATTTTAGACAGTATTAACTAGAAATAACAATAGAAACAGTTGCTTCCAGTCCTCAGCCCTCAGTTCCACTCAAGGTATCCGTGACCTCTGACCTAGTTTGATGGCTTCTGAAAATAGTTATAAAGAGGCAGGCAAATGCACTGAACATTCTTGTATTAAGCAATGTGTTAACTTATTCATTAATTAAAATCAATTCACAGTTAAATACTGAGAAACAGGACGATGAAAAGGATAAACGTTGGTCCATGATGAGACGGATTGGAAAGCAGAAATCCGAATCCTTCAGTCCCTTTAATAATCTGAGGTCGCCACAGCAGGATGAACCGCCAACTTATCCAGCATATGTTTTATGCAGCGGTTGCCCTTCAAGCTGCAACCCACCACTGGGAAACACCCATACACACTCATTCACACACATTCACTATGGACAATTTAGTTTACCCAATTCATCTATAGAGAATATCTTTGGAATTGTTGGGGAAACCAGAGCACCCGGAGGAAACCCACACCAACACTGGGAGAACATGCAAACTCCACACAGGAATGCCAACTGAGACAGCCAAGGCTTGAACCAGCATCTTTCTTGCTGTAAGGGCGATCGTGCTACCCACTGCACCAAATGCAAGTAAATGTAAATGCAGTGAGGATACGTTACACTGATCAGAAGGTATTTATTATCCTACAAATGATTGTCAATAAGTGGCATTTTTGCTAAATTAAAAACATGTTGCTCTGGGTACATGTTGTGGCATGTTTCAGATGACAAATCCACTAGAGGGCGTTGTCTACATTTTAACGATTCTGAAAAACGTAACTTAGGGTACATGTACATTTTGATGTACATTTACAACAAAACAAGTCATACATCGTTATTTTGTGGTATTTGTTTGGAGTTGTTCAAAAAAGCTGAAACCAATCATTTATTCAGCTTTATTACTTTTTAAATATCATAAATATTTAAAGGAACAAATATGGTTGGTGTCATACTGCCCTGAAGAGTGTTGAACATATCAGAATGATTTCTGAAGGATTCCACAACACTAACGCCCCATTCACACAGGGCTTCAGCGTCAACGCTTCCCATTCACCTTGAATGGGTGACGTCAGGTGTTGCCGAACTGCTTTGTGGATCTGTCGCGCCGCTGCAGAGGTGTTGCTTACTGCAGAAGTTGGGACTTGCTCAACTTTTCAAGCGGCAAATGAAATGTCAGCCAATCAGATCGCTGTATGCAAATACACCAGCTCAGACAGTGGCCTATTGCTGACTAATTTCATTGGCTGATGCTGCTATGACGTTCGCGTCAGTCACTTCAGACACGCCCTTTGTCAAGCGTTGATGCTGAAGCCCCGTGTGAATGGGGCGTAAAGACTGGAGTAATAATGATGCAAAAATGTTATTTGTATCACATGAATATATTATAATTTAATGTTTATTTGCATAGAACCCCCCCCCCCCACACACCAAATATATTACCATTTTAATGCATTTTTCATAAAATAACTGCAGCCTGACAAGCAAAGGAATCTTGAAGAGAGCGCCATCTGCTGTGTAATCCAGGAATTTACAGAAGGTCATGTGACATTTTTTCATGCTTTGAGGTATATTCAATTATATGTAACCTATTAGGTTGGGTTGTATTAGGCTGTGATTTTTGGTGCACTTATTAACATGGTCCTTTTAAATTTGAATTACAAGCATTAAAAGTGCCCTATAAAGAAAATCTGTGTATACCCAGGCATAGTAGAATAATAAGAGATCAGTGTTTTCTCGTCCTCAGGTAAGTTAAGCAAGAGTAAAACCCTGGTAAACAAATAAACCTATCAGAACACAAAACAGACTGTTGCATGACTCATGGGAAACACCCTCAACTCAAAAGTTGCATGGCTTTTAGCTCACATTTTACTCTGTACCTGACGAGCAGCCATGTCATGAGACCAGCAGTCAAAACACAGATTCATATGATGTTCTGAGATCATTAATATGCATGCCTCAGGCTGCGTTTAACAAGCCACAATGTTTCTTAGTCACACAACAATTATCTTTTTCCTTCCTTAGTTATTTTTAAGGATATCTATGTTCATATTAAACTTACTATGTATGTGTGACTATGCAGATAGTTTTCTATATGTTGCTATGAACCGACTTCATGAGCCACTTGTTCAGAGGCTCATCAAAACACAAAACAGGATATACAGATTATACATTTATTCAGCTCCACACTAAAGAAGCGGAAGGCACGTTTAATTGCATCTATTCTTAATTTATCATGTTTATTGTGAAACACACATGTAGAATGCTGAGTATAAGTTATACATAGTACAAAATGCATGTTTAAGAATCGTTTAATTGTTTAAAAATCAATTACTCAGCTCTTATTGCATGATTTATCTGAAGAGAAAGAACAATACACAGTACACTTTTGTGCAATACACTGTCCTGAATGTGTTTCTTTGACATTATAGCTTAATAATTTATATTTTAGCCTAAATTTTATCTTCAACACAACTTGCGTGCGTGTGTGTGTGTGTGTGTGTGAGAAAGAGAGAGAGAGAGAGAGAGAGAGAGAGCAGGCTGCAGTAATGTTCATGACTGTTCCATATATGGTCAATATGGCCGTTCTGATTGTAGGTATACGTTATGGGAAATAAAGCATATAAAACAATTTCTGGAGTTTATTTCGATTTAACCTACGCCACATACCTCCTATCAATGAAGTATAGGGCCTTTTGAGTATCAATCAATGGAGTATATGCAGTTGTTTTATTAGCTAAGGCAGCAGATATCATGTCTTTGCAGCTTCATCTTTCGCTAGTTAGCCCACATCGCTTTCACTTTGTAACCACTTCTATAAACCTGAATGGTTAAAATATACAAATTATTGTAACAAATGAAAATGAGAATTTAAGATTTATATTCTACGTCAGAAGATTCCAACACTTTGATATACTTGAAGGTTCTGATAATGTGTTTAATGCTATACAGACATATTGAGTTATTTAGTTTGTATACAGTCACTTTCCTTTCATTGCTTTCTACTTCCTCATAAGTATTGATGTGGGTGTCTGTACATCAGTTGATTTCTCTTTCATGTGACGCTGACATGATGCTGCACATCTTCCTCATCTCCATGCTGTTTCTTGAGGTTTTGCCTCAATGTAAGTGCATTTAAGTTTTATACATTAAATTTGGTCTAAGAACAAGTGTCTTTTCTCATCTTCTATAGTATAGTTCATGCATATTTTTGTAATATTTTCAGAACTGGTTTCAGCTGCTATCAGTATACAAAAAATACAAAAAATAAAGTATTGGAGCTATGTTTACCCTGTCAAGACATTTGTGAAAATAGTCACTTGATGAAATGAAAAATGCCTGCTTTTTAGATAATTTATAGTGCACTATTGTTAAATGAATATACATGCTCTAAAAAAGTGATTAGTTATACTTAAAAAGGTGAGAAAACTTGTTTCCTTAAAATCAACAAGCTGACTTTAAAAAAGTGAGTAAACCCATTGTAACTTAGATCTTTTAAGTTAACAACTTAATTTTTATAATTATGTATAGTTCATTTTCTTTCATTTTAAGGCTTAAATTCATTTAAACTCATTTTTTAAGTAACATCAACTAATGTTACTTAATGCTTGTGCGATTACAAACACAAAGTGTGCGTTTTATATAAGAATGAATTATGTTCGACTGACATGCATGTGTGCAATGGATTACTATAACAGTTATGTTAGTTGTTTGTTACTTGAAATAAACATGAAAGCAAAATAAAATGTTTTAAAGCTTTTTATTTTATAATTCCAAGCTCACGCTTGTTCATTTTTGTGTAGTGTAACACACAATAACTAAAACTACTACTATTACCAACACTTCTACAGTATAAAATATAAATCTAAAACGTATCTCTAACTGAATTCATAATTCATAATGTATTTGTAATGTTATGATAACTGTAGTATGTGTAATGTGTTGTATGCATTTGTTTTAGTTCTTTGTTTTGTGTCTAGGTTGTGAGCAAAAGCACCAAACTAAAAATAAAAGCATAGCTGTTATCATCATCATCAAATTGAATTATAGGTATGCTCTGTTATAGAATCAGTTTCTTTCTCATGCATGTGGTCTGATATACACTACTGAGGTATTTCTGGTTATCTACTGAACTTTAACTTCCTTTTGTTCTCATATACTGTATGACATATGACAGTTTTTGCATTGTAGCAAAAGCAAAACCCAGTATAGAGATTAAAGGCCCTATCATACACCCGGCGCAATAAGGCGCAAGATGTGTTTGGTGCAATTTTGTTGCCATTTTCAGACCAATGCAACCCTAATTTTCCCATTTTGTGCCACCTTGTTTAAAAAGTAAATCTATTTGCGCCATGTTGTGTGTGTGCTGGTCTATAAAAGAGGTGTGTTGAAGCACTTTGTTGACGTGTTGCTATTTTGAGGAACTAAAATAGACTATACATCTAAAAGCAAGTCTAAAGTCCAGCGCAGAGCACATTACTTGTGTGCCTTAAAAGCCTACACATTGCTTAATACACACAGCAATGTAAGGCAATACGCAGCTATCTTTACAGATGAAGAAGAATAATGGATTAAAATGTTACAAAAAATATTATTTCCTACAAAAATATAAAAACCACTGCCTCCATGCCTTCATGTTGGGAGGCTTTTTTCAGTTTATTCATGACAATTTGCATTTGTATAATGATATTATTAGCAGTATTATTAATTATATGCATATTTATCTTTGTTTAAATAAAAACAAGTTTAGATTTGTCCACCTGTCAGGTTTTGGAGATGTCTGCATCCTCATATGGAGCATAAGAACAGGATGTGTGCTTGAATACAACTCAATTTTTTGACCACACTTCGTTGGTCCACTGTTGGTGGACTAGTGGGCACTTTAGTACATTTAGTATAAGGGCACTTTTTATCCAATAGAAAAAAGAGCATGTGCACTGCACAGGCTGAGCCCTTTCTGTGCATGTGACTGAACTAGACTCTGGGTGTTTTTTGGGAGACCTATTTAGGCCCCATCCCAATTCTGTTTTTGTACCCCTACCCCTACCCCTTCCCCTTTCCTCTAGGCCCTTCAAACAGAGTGTTAAGAGGAAGGGCTTCAAAATTTACCCCTAAGAAATGGGGCAACAGCACCTGCACACGTCATCCCAATCTCTTACTTCATATGAGATTGGATGATCGTAACTGCTGTAGTGATTCCAGTTGCTTTATTTTTTGCTATTTATCTTCAGGAAAGCACTGAAGGCATATATCATGTTACCATAATGATATAATGGGGGAATAAGATCGTAACTGTATTGTGCATTTACACTGTGGCCATATCCATCTATGTAAACACACAAAAAACAACATTAAAGTTATAGCAGACACTGTAAAAAGTTAATTTCCACCCACTAGACTTTTCTGAGAGTGTCATCGAGTGTCAGAATGTTGTCATGATGGTAAAACATGAACACGGTTATGAATATTTTAAAACACATGCTTATTTTTTGTGAAATTCATAATGACAAAAAATACTAGTTTGTGCATCTCCTGACTTCCAGGTGTAGCTATGCAGGCTGGTGTATTCTGGGAAATTTTCGTACCCCTTGTTTTCGAGTGGTGTACTGAAAAATCTCAGTTTCAAGGGGCATCTAGTCCTTCCCTTTAGTCCTACGCCTTTAAGCTAAAGAGTATTGGGACACCTCTTCCCCTTAACATGAATGCACAAAACGAGGAGTAGGGGTAAGGGGAAGGGCTAAGGGGTAGAATTGGGATTGGGCCTTAATCGCTATAAATTCTTTTGTGGCCCAATATGTACCTGCTACGTGTTTAGAAATAATGCTGATATGAGATATGAAACACAATCGGTAGTTGTCAAATATATTGAGTGAATATGTTTGTAAACCTGACTGTGAAAGAGTCAGTGCCTCATCAGCCACAAACCTCACCTCACACAGCACTCATGTCTCATTAGTGATCACAAAGGCGCAAACAAAACTAACAATTAGCCTACACTCCTTGCACAAACTACACTTTTATCTGTTACATTTCCTTTGGTAGAACCCAATTTTAATGTGAGATTTTGAAAACCTTTTTGCTGAGTTCATGAAAATGCTGTTCGATTTCATAAGTTTTACAGAATAATGAATAAGAAAATTAATGAATGAAAATGAATAGACTAATATTTTAATATTGTACAAGAACTAAATCTAAAACTTACATTTCTTCGGCTGTATAAGCATATTCATTGAAACATCAATACCAATAAAGAATCTATTTTTAATGTGAATTTGTTATACTGTACTGTATTTCTCTTACAGCATTGTTCGAGCAGTTGTGGTTGACGACATCTCCATCAACAGCGCAGAATAACTCAAATATAAGATATGAAGCACAAGACAGATCATCTGTTCAACCTCACTACATCACAGATGCAAAAAAGAGGTTTTCTCTGGGTAAATTCCACTGTTTAGCATCTTTCATGACTGTGTTGTTCTCTCATCGCGATTATTTTCATCATAGTTTGGCTCTTCTACATTAATGTGTTTGGATTTGTTCTGTTTTGCAGATAAGAAGCCGGAGATTACAGTAAATTATGACTCTCCAAATGGAGAATTTAGAGTTTACTGTGAAATACCAGGATCAGATAATGCTGGTTATACTTGTTTTCTCTTAATTGGAGACGAAAATAAACAAATTCTTAAGACTTATAAACCATCTGGACGAACACAGTGTGTTATTACGTTCAAGGAACATTATTTGCTTAATAAACTAATGTCAGTTAAGAGTAAAGTGATGAGCTGCAATTATTCTTCTGGAACTTCAATATCATCTGAACGTTCACCATACAGTAATAAATACAACCTAACAGGTATGCAATCAGGAATATTGTCAGCAAATGCTAATTAATTTATATATGTATATACAGTTTCATACAATCTTATGAAATCTTTGCCATGAGTACAATACATTGTTTTTTACAAGATATTTTTAAGATACTAGTATTTAGCTTAAAGTGACATTTAAAGGCTTTACTAGGTTAATTATGAAGTTAGGGTAATTAGGCAAATCATTGTATAACGATGGTTTGTTCTGTAGACAATCGAAAACAAAAATATTGCTAAAGGGAGCTATATAACACTGACCTTAAAATGGTTTTAAAAAAATTAAAAACTGCTTTTATTCTCGAAATAAAACAATTAAGACTCTCCAGAAGAAAAAAATATGATAGGAAATACTGTGAAAAAAAATCCTTGCTCTGTTAATAGGACAAAAAAAAATTCACAGGATGGCTAATGCTTTTATGTATATATGTGTATATATTAATGTGATGTATTTTTCTCTCTAAAGCTTTTCTACCTGTACAAGTTCAGGTAACAAGTACAACAAAAGGATCAACATTATGTAAGTTTACCTATAATCTATCATTTTTGTGGTGATTTTTTTACTGTTTTCTCAGTTGCTTTGGCTCAATCCTTGATTGAAATGTGTATTTTTCAAAACAATAAGTTTAGATCTCTGAACAATTAGCTTCACATCAAACTTCCATATTGACTTAAGAAAATTTCAAATGCTTGTGTGCAAACAGTAAGTACAATTGTCTGTAGTTTGGAAAAAACTAATTGCATATATTGCCTGTTGATTAAAACTGTTGAGTTGATTCTCATTTAAAGTGTCAAACACTTCACACCTTCTTCATCATGTAAGCCATCACACTCAAAACTATTTATTCAATTATCAAACATTTGTATACACACACATTTACACCATAAATATCTGATATTGACATTGTAATGTCTGTTAAATTAGTAAAAGACCTATAATTGCAATACAACTTGCATCATCTATTTAACAGATTAGTTTTGGTAGCATATACATGTAGATTGTCCACAGCACAATCATACATTTTTTTTGAGAATGGGGAACTTATACAATCCTGAATCCTTTATTAATCTGGGGTCGCCACAGCGGAATGAACTGCCAACTTATCCAGCACATGTTTTAAGCAGCGGATGCCCTTCCAGCCGCAACCCATCCCAGGGAAACATCCACACACACCCATTCACACTCATACACTACGGACAATTTAGCTTACCCAATTGACCTGTACCGCATGTCTTTGGACTGTGGGGGAAACCGGAGCACCCGGAGGAAACCCATGCGAACGCAGGGAGAACATGCAAACTCCACACAGAAACGACAACTGACCCAGCCGAAGCTTGAACCAGCGACCTTCTTGCTGTGAGGCAACAGCAATACCTACTGCACCTCTGTGTCGGCCTATTTTGTTTTGTGTATTTGTGGTAACATAAAAAATGACACATACTGTACAATACCGCTCAAAAATAATGGTACGCAAGCTGTCACTGGGGTGGTAGCTTTTCAAAAAGTACACATTTGCACTTAAAATGTCCAAATTGGTACCTTAAAAGTATATATTAGTATCTAAAAAGTTTAGGAGAATTTTTTTTTACTTTTTAGGTACTAATATGTACTCTTGAGGTATTAATATGGATCTTTTAGGTACAAGTTTAGGTACCCCAGTGACATCTGGCGTACCCTTTTTTCTGAGTATACAGTAATTTGACAAGCAGAATTGCACTTAACATGTAACACATTCATACAAAAATAAATGTACTGTATAAATACAAATGTTCATATATTTTTTCTATGTACTATTGACACTTCTCAACAAATATCAGATATTTTAAAAACCTAAATTTCTATGGTTGACTTTCATGTTAAAAAAACAGCAAATGATTTTGAGCAGTGAGGCTCACACGATGACGAATTCACTTTTTGTTTTGGTTGCCTTGGCCAAATTACTGACACAATAACTAGGTTTTAAAGCATGAATTTAGTTTTGGGGGAGTAACTATATCAAGTTCTGAAGTTCTAGCAAGCAGTTTTGAGATTTGCATGCACAGCTTCGAGAATGTTAAGATATATGTGCCAAAGCAATGAATAAAACTGTAATAACCTGGCTAAATCCTGTGCAGATTCAACATCAGTGAGTGAGGAGACTACTAAACAAAACCCAACAACACCAGACAATTCCATCTTTACCAACAATACTATGTTCATAAGCATTTCAACCATTCAGAATATCACAGCCACAAAGTCTAGCATGTGGTCTGACAGCACAATAAACTCTACATCGGGTAAGTACTTTTTAAAACTCTGATCACTGAGAGCATTTGTTCCTGCAGCACTTCTGTGATTATGAGGATCTGAAACTCTGAGTTTCATTATTTGACCTCACTAAATGAGGCACAATGTGTATAGATTCAACCACAGGCCTGATAAAATAAAACACTTATTCATAAAGCAGATCATTTTTTGGTAAACTTATAGACTGACTCTGTGTGATTGCGGTCTAATCTGAGAAACATTAACTCTATGATTTAATATGCAAGCCAGCAAGAAATATGTAACTATTAAATGTCAACATTATACGTATAATTAATTCTAAAATATAAAAACTAAATTACACTGTATTTAAACTATATATAACAAAATATTCTGCTCAAAATAATAAAGGGAACAGTTGAAGTTGCATTGTGTTGTTTAAGTGTTACCTTATAGTTTAGTTTGGAGGTAAAAAAACTCTTGTATTTAATAATTATTTGATTGTCTGAAGGGTTTGCAGATGAAACTATGCACGTTATATCTTTTTGAACAATACATGAGGAAAAAACGTGGAAAATATTTATTTAAATTTAATAATGATTCAATCAACAAAATTGTTATTGTATTTTAGAAACGGCTCAATCTTCACAACCTCTAAACATCACAATGAACATGACAGTGGGTGAGTTATGAGATACTGCAAAAATTAGAAGCTATTTTAATAAATATCATAGTCAAGTTTCATTTCTGTATTATTTTATCAAATTTCGGTTTCTTTTGCACCTTTTAGTTGTTAATGATTCATCTGATGCACACAGAACACCAGCAACAAGTAATTATTAACAATCAATCAGTAACTGAACTGAAAACTTTGCATAAAATGATCTTCTCAATCTGATTTGCTTCAAAGAATCGTGGATAATCATGATACTGACAGCCACCGGTGGAGGAATTGTGCTGAGTGGATTGTTGGGAATCTGTCTCTTCTGCATGAGTAAGTTTTCGTTAAAGATGCACAATTTATGCGGATTAGTTACAAAAATCTGTGCAATTATTTAATGCTCAGAAAATCATGTGTTATTCTTATTAGGCCAACTATTAAGTCAAAAATCTTAAACATCTTAAATCTAGAAACATCTTAAAAACATTTATTAGTCAGCACATGGGGAAAAAAGATATAATCATGAAAGTAGCCTACATGTATGTACAGCCGCACCTCATAAGAAAATCTAATTATTTTATGTTTCGTCAGTTTAGTGGTTAATTCGTAGTTCGGTCATGCATGTTATACTGCCAATAGAATGGCTAAAAGTGATTAATTGGCTACTAACAGAAGTGTTTGTACATACATTACATTAACCTCCAATATTTCAAGACATTTCATTGTCTGTTTTCACAGGTTTATCTAAGATGGCTTAAGTTTTTTACACATCCAGAACTCCTTGTGGCCACACATACTGTACTGTGCTGAGCAACAAACAAATCAAATTTAGTAATGTTTAATTTAATTTGTTTGTTTAAAATCAGCCCACATAAATTGTTTGCAAGCACTTAAATTTTAGCAAATTTACTGAAACATTTTTTTATTGTATAAAGGATAAAATAAAACAATTTACAGATTGCAAAGAAAAAAACAGATAAATTATTTAACTGCCATATAAACAAATGTATATTTCAATAACCGGGACGATCAAATTGTACTAAATTTTACGAATAAGAGAAATGCAAAAGTTACAAACTGGCGTGAGATAGCATTTGTTTTTGTTATTTAAACTACCCAGCAGGCCCAGTAGTTGTCAATGACAAGACAACTACTAAGATGTTTCCAGTTGCTAGTGTTTTTCATTTGCATGGGTTTATTTTTTTTTTTTTTAATCTCAGTGCGTTTGAGCTCTCTCAGCCACCGTATTTAATCTATCAAACATGCTTCACTTCTGTTCTTCAATGTCTAAATTTCATTTCTGTCAAAAATCAAATATAGTTTTAAATTATAATATGGAAGTGTGGTGATAATTTGGAAATCTGGCCTTTCATAATAAACTTTAACACACTGGTATAATTTATTTCATCAGGACAGAAACCAAGGAAGATGAGGTAAGACTTTTCTAGTGTACTTCATAACATCCTGTAGTGCTTGAAGAATATAGAATACACACAAAAAATTGTACTTTTATTATGTTTAGTATGAAACCCTCAAAACCAGAGCAATATTCGGGTAAGTCATCATCTGATACACTAATTAATATAATGGAGTATAGATTCCGAAGCTGGTTACATGCTTAATATGATTATTATAATAATGTTTTCAGTGCCAGATGATAATGATGACAACAAGGAATGTTCTGAAGAAAATGAGGTGATGTGTTTTCAGCTAGTATTCAGTTACTCATTATTTCTCTATAACAGGGGTTCTCAATTTCGATCCTGGGGATCAGGTGTCCTGCAGGTTTTAGCTACAACCCCAATCAAACGAGTAGGGTGAAGCTGCAGGTCTGAAGACCAAACTGCACGCTCAAACCTACACGCTCAAACCAGCACTTTCAGACCTATTGTTTTCTTAGGCAGTGCAACCTGCTGTTAGGTCAGGTAAAGTGGCAAGTCTCGAGACCCAACTGCAGATAAAGTCCTCGCTGCAGCCCGCAGCTTAATGACGTATTAGACCAGGTCTACTATGTAATGGACGAATGCCTAAACTTCCCCCTAAACCCAACCGTCAAAGTAGCATTGGCATTACCTTAAGGGGCTGTACAATGTCCACTACGCAGTGGACCTGGTCCAGTACATAATCATGGTTGCAGACTGCAGGGAGGACATCTTGCAATTACACGGTCAGACCTGAACTTTATAGCAAGTATAGCAACATCGGACAAGTGACCCTAATTCTAACGATAACCCTAACAATAGGTCTGGAAGTGCTGGTCTGAGCATGCAGTTGGGTCCCTGAGCCTGCAGGTTCATAATGTTGAATCAGACACACCTGGGTTAGCTAATCAAGCTCTCCCTAGGCTCTCTAGAAACATCCTTGCAAGTGTGTTGAGGCAAGCTGGAGCTAAAATCTGCAGGACACCGGACCTCCAGGACTGAGTTTGTGAACCCCTGCTCTATAATATCATTACATTTTGTAGGTATTTATATTCTAATTTGTTTTTTAGGACAAACTGTGCCATGTTTACTATACCATTTCTGAAGTCCCGGCAGACACTGATAAGTTATACAGTCTGGCACAGATGCCAAATCAACCTCTGACTTTTTAATGTATACATAATATCATTCTAATTAAACTTATTGTCATATAAAGAGATTGTGTTTCACTTCCAATCAATCTTATAGGGAAATTACCAACCTACGTCACATGGGTTCTACCACGCATACCAGTTGCAAAAAAAAAAAACGGTTGCAATAGCAAACATGTTGTGTTGTGCAGTAGGATGCCAAAATCGAAAGTCCAAAAATAGAAAACTTAGCTTTTACTGTACACCACACTGCTTTCAATGCCAACTGCAGACATCTTTGGCTAACAGCTATCAGAAGAGCTGAATGGAGTGAGGACCTAATTAAAATTCCTGGACACTGCAGTTCTCATTTCATGTCAGGTAAGTTCACGCTATGCTGAATCATACACAATACTCGTTTTTGATTGCAGCAATGATTTCAGCAAAAACAGTTAAATATGGTGAATTTAACTGCCGACACTGAATGCTTAGAATGAAATATCTAAAAGCTCAGTAAAAATCTAAGTTCACACACCCTTCCATACAGGTGCAGTTCGCTGTCAGAATGCAGTTGTTTTGCTTGTGTATGATTACCCAGGCCTTGTATCGCTCCGTCTTTTTTCCTTGTCTTTGGCAAGGCAGAACCTCAGTTTTTAGCACTACAAAGTTTTGAATCTGGTAATCATGGAGCATTATTTCTTGCACATGACCACACAGAACAAAATTGTAGGTATCCAAAGACTTGTAGGCCTTTAACTGCTCTTGTAAAATGACTTGGAGTTTTAATGAGATGAGTTGTATATTTCGAGCTGGATGCTTTAGTCTTATTCAGTATCCATTAGGAGGGTGCTACCGCAAATGAAACTGTCAGACGAACGTCACTCACTTTAACGTTAATTTTGCAGAATAACTGTGCTTATCATTGGGTGACAAGCTTTTTTAATATGCTAAAAGCATAATGTAAATAATATTTATATCATTTAAAAAATATAACTCATCTCTAATACAACAACAAACTCTGTACTGTTTCGGATGTCATTCCCTCGCTGTAAATGCTAGTGCTCCCGTTTTTTCTGCAACCTCGCTGCGCGCGCATCCTGAGTGTTTACAAACTGGTAATTCGTCTGTAAACACTCTAAAATGCAATTAAAAAATTGGTTTGTCTATATTTCATTTAACTTGGGGATTAATTCATTTAACTTGAATTAAAAATTGCCAATTAATCAGAAACATGACTGTTATAACTTTTGTTTCCTGCTAATCATCACAATTGCCATGTTTAGTGGTTCATACATCTACCACGCTCCTCACTTCTCTCTTGGGCTTTCCTTGTTCCTCAGATTGGTATAAATTAAAGTACATTTTTAACCTCAAGGTTTCAGACCCTGATGATTGTGCATTGTTACCTGTTGTCAAAGCCAAAAGATGGCCACAAGCACGCATGCACGAACACACACACATGGCTTGGTCATCAGTTCACCTTTTAGTGCATACGCTTTTAGTTCTGCTAATTACAGCAAAGGCAACTGCATACTTTGATCAATTGATCTCCTGAAAATCCAAATAACAATGACAACCCCATTTAAACAAGCAGCATTCATTCATTTTCTTTTCAGCTTAGTTCCTTTATTCATCAGGAGTCGCCACAGTGTAATGAACCGCCACTTTATACAGAGTATGTTTTATACAGCGGATGCCCGTCCAGCTGCAACCGAGTACACACTCATTCACACACATACACTACGGCCAATTTAGTTTCTCCAATTCACCTATAGAGTATGTCTTTGGACTATGGAGGAAACCGGAGCACTCGGAGGAAACCCACACCAACACGGGGAGAACA